GTGTCAATTGTAATTAGCTTGCCTATTTCATTCCACAATATAAATGGGTATTGTGCATGTTGAATCAGCAAAAAGTTGGACTTCCCGTCCCAACTTTTGTGGCGAGATGCATGCTGAGTGTCCATTGTGGCCAATGGAAGTTTGTTTTTCTCAGTTTAATTGCCAAGCAGGAGAACATTTTTAAGGGGGATTGCAACTGTGGAAAGAATTAACTCATCTCCACATGCTGTAACACCTGTTCCCCACCTATATTTCCCTGCATGGCGATTACATTTAGTAAAACGTTTTGGGAATGTTTGGCATGATCTGGATCAGGGTGCAAATTAATTAAAGAATTTGTTTTATTTGAACATGCTGGCATGAGAAATTAGGGTTAATTGGCTGGTTTCCCTTCATGTAAGATGTAAAACTAAATTCCTCTTAAATCAGCATCGCTAGATATAAATCAGCACAAATAGATTTTATGCAGATTTGTTTGTCCTTGGTGTTGGAACTTTTAAGTGTCTGGCAGGCCCCCTCAGGCCTGTCAGTCATCTTTACTCTGATGCCAGCAACCTGGGGCCTGGCTAATGGCTAAATGATACCTAGCAGGACATGTTTCTAGAAGAGGCCATGCATGAAGCTGACTCTCTTTGCACAATGGGAAGAGGAGTTAGGCAGGTTCTGTGTGCCTTGCTTTGGATCTGCACATCCTGGCTTTTGAATCACATGATTGTCTACCGTCCCCATCTTTTGGAAATGCAGCGTCATGCTGAAGTGGACACTTCTACAGCTCTGGGGAAGCCAGACTGTACAAAAGCATCACAAGCATTCCTCCAGCCACTGGGTCATTCCCAATGCATTGCTTTCACAACGTGTGGACTACCCAGATTTATGCTATAAAACCAAACTTTTGCATCTTTTCCAAACACAGAGAGAAAGCTTGTTCTGTTTTCCCCACTGCATATAATGGGAATGACAGAAAGCAAATTTGGGTAGGATTTTACCTGTTGTTTAAAGTTTGAATGGGTTGAATGGTACAACTGTAGAAATATTAAACTACTATGTTTTGTACATAAAGATAGTACACAACAGAGAATGAAATAAAGTACCTTTTATTATGAAGAGTCATTTATACATCCTGTTCATACTTAAGACAAAAATAGAAAAAATAGATTTATAACAAACCTTCTGGCAGAGGCTCTGTCCCTTCTCTTACCAAAAGAAAACATTCTAATGAAGTTGAGACCAAAGGCAGGAACTTGCCCACCAGGTAAAATTTCCTTTTATACTCAAAAGTCCTATGCCACCTCTTCGTCTAATACCATTCTTGGTATTTTTTATACTACATTATTCTACAGGCTTACTAATCAGTTATGATAAGATGGTTTGTTGTTATGTGCTGTCAAGCCCTCTCCAACTAATGGCAACCTTATGAATGAGTGCTTTCTAGAATGTTCTATCCATGAATGTTCTATCGGCCCACTAGGGTATGGAATGGGCTTCCATGGGAGGTGGTTGAAGCCCCATTGGTGAGGGTGTTCAAGGATAGGCTGGACATGCACTTGGTAGGCATGACATGAGCGGAACCGGCTGGATGGCCCAGGAGGCCCCTTCTGACTCACTCTGTTTCTATGACAACCCAGCTCAGCTCTTATAAATTCAAGGCTGTGGCTTCCTTTATAGAGTCAAGCCATCTCATATTTGGTCTTCCTTTTCTTCTTCTGCCTTTGACTTTCCCTAGCATGAGTGCCTTTTCATGATGTACTTAAAAGTATGACAGCCTCAGCTTTGACAGTTTGCTCAGCTTTGACAGTTTGCTTCTAAGGAAAGCTCTGGGTTTGGTTCAAGGTGGTTTAACCTCCTTAAAAACCCCTCTCAGTCAGCCTCCCTTCTAAAAAGGTCATTATTGATGGTTTGATCAATTCCAGAGAATTCCAAGCAGTCTGATTTCTCTCTTTATGGTTTGTCTTTGTACCTTGCAGCTGACAATGTATCTGATGTATCTAAAAGCAATGCACTTATCACTCCTTGTTCCTGTGTGTGAAATGTACTGCTTGCAGGATCGGGCCACCTCATGCAACACACCTTATCTCTTTTCCAAGGTTCAAATAATTCTACTGCCCCATATTTCCTGAAATTTATTCTGGTGTAAACTAGGCCAACTGGGCCAATAATGACTTAGCCCAAAGAACCAAAGTTTACCAGGGTATCTCAGTGTTTACTCCTATTATCTATGCTTCCTGCAAAAGTCAAGCCAAATGATTGGCCAACTGCAATGTAAATTAACTTTAGATACTATCATGCTTTGACCAGACACACATTGTATACACAGAAAGCCTTCCTTAGTGTGGCCAAGCTGCCTCTAAACCTTCTGGTGACTGCTGGACATGATGGAGATGCAGAACCTCATTCCTGGCACTCTGATCTGTCATGCAACTCTCAAAAGTACAAGAAACCCGTGGGACCATGCCTATCTGTAATGTGGCTCTATAAAATAAAATTTGTTAAAGGGCAATGGCAGGTAAGGATCCTTTTGCTTCTCAGCTGGCTGCTGAATGGGACTTTAAATAGGAAGGGTTCTTTCCTGAGCCTTTCCTACTACCAGTGCTCGATATCAGTGAAGCTCCAGTGAGAATAAGCAGCCAGGCCTTTACTATTTCAGCATGACAAATGAATCAGGAGTTGGGGTGGGAAGAGGAAGCAGAAGGAAAGGATACGGACAACGGGTCTGGTGGGATAAATAACCAGCAAGCCCAACCACTTTAAGAAATGGTGCGAGAGAAAGGGGGCAGATGAATTAGCAGGGACTGGCTGGTGCAAAAGGAATATGGGTAATCCTGTGAGAGGCATCTGTGCTTGCAGCACACCCTCTGGTGACACGCAGCACTGCTAGGGGTGCTATTGCCTTCTCTAGGAGGAGCCAAAGCCATATATGAACCATCCTCATGGAAGCTGCCTGCCCTCTGCTCCCGGAGCCTGGGCCACTAATGAAATGCCCTTCTGTTTGCTGCCGCAGCTGACTAATTGGAGAGGAGCTCTGTGGATTCTTATCAAGTCTGCTTCTGCTTGTCTCCCTGACATGAATGTTACTGGCTGGCAAGAGAGGGGGTTTAGACTTCCTTTGTACCATTCTGTTGGAGGGACTCAAGCTTGCCTCACCACTTCCCCATCCCAGTGCTTTACATGGTGTCCTAACACGACTGGCTTCTGTTCAAGTCGCGTTATGGCTTGGCCTATTATTGAACCTGGTATAAATATCATAAAAGGATTCATATAGAAGGGCACTGAGAGCTTTGGCTGCTGGGCAGTAGAGAAACACAACTGTGATGTGTGTGTGTGGTGGGGGAGCAGAGGGTTGGGGATATTGCTCTACAGCTCTCAGCTTTCTACTATGTGATCCATAGGCAGAAACTCCACCTGGTAGACTCACACTACCCCTTCCACATCCACCCAGTCAAGCCAGGGGGTACTTGGCCTTTTCCAGGTATCCTTGGAACCCAGAGATAAGAGAGCAAAGCCAGCACTTTTACCTCTGCCCCACCTCAAATCTAACAGTCCCAAAAGGCACTGAGCTTGTACTGAGGCCTGATCTGAAAACAAAACATAAACTTGGAAGAGTTAACTTTAGGGTTCCATGGACAATTTACATTATGTAAAAAGATGTAAATACAAATAATTTTTTTTTATCTAAGATGCCATGTTTTAAAGTTACTGTGTCAAAACAACTAATAATTTAACTTTTTGTTTTGAAAAAAGGTATATGACTTTACCACCCAAAATGTTGCTTATTTGCTTGAACAGCTGCTGTTAAACCACACCAAAAGCTTGTACATATAGCACAAGAGTGGGGAACCTGTCGTCCTCCAGATGTTTTGGGCTGCAACTCCCATAAGCTCCAGCCAAGGCTAATAGCTTTGTGTTCCATTCTTCTGACAAATGCAGTGAACCCCTTGAACAAGACAAATAAAATACATTTTGAAAGCAGGACCCAGAAACACAAGACAGCAGGCTTCTGTACACAGAACATTTACTATGTGTTTGATTATTGCTCATGGTAGTTTGTGAGTGCTTTATACAGTATGATCATCCTTCAGGACCTATCTTGTGCTTTCCAAGCACATCTATGGCTTGCCCCCCACCCCCTTTTAAAGAGCAATGACAGTATAGTGTTACGTGAAAAGAGTAGAATGAACCTGAATGAAAAATGAGTATATTTTTGCAGCTCTCTTATACGAGTGCCACCTTGTTAGTTGCGTAATAGAATAGAGAAAATCCCAAGGGAACACTCAAAGACGCGTACCATGCAAAGAATCTGGAAGCAGGCTTGGTAGAACGGCAGGTTATAAGGCTCATGTAGGAAAATCTGGTGCCATTACGAAGTACAGCAGAACAGCGTAAGAGGCCAACACATTTACACAGTTCTTAAGACTCACAAATTAACTGCGACCTGGAATACATTGAGGAAAATACCTTTCTGCACGGTTTCGCCCTGGGTATAACCACCGCCTATTCTACCAACCTTGCGGAACAGAGAAGTTAAATCAGCCTTCAGTGAGGGCAGAAATATATCGAAGACTTTCGAAAAGCGTTTTGTGCCTTAACAGAAAGAAATGGAACTCCAGTGGTTAACTCGCATGTGTATGTATCGCACGGCAACTCGGAGAAAGGGAGGAGCTGCACGCAGGGCTGAAGCTGAACCTTACACTTGAATTCATTCCTCTTGCCCCCACCCCGCGCCACAAGTATCCTTCCACATATCCAAATTTGTTGCAAGACAAATGCTCAGGCGTGTGCTGTCCACTTAGGTCGCGCAAGCACGTGTGAATGGGCACTCGCACAAAACCACCACCCGTATTTCCCCTTCTGCGCCGAAGGCGGGCCCTAGAGCAGCTGCAGCCGCCGCCTATCAGCCCGGTCCGCTCGGGTCTTTTCCCCTTTCCCTCCTCACGCCCCGCTTCACATGATTGCCACCACGTGACGGGCGCGGGGCGGTCACATGAGCGGCGACGGAGGGGGAGGGAGTCACATGACGCCCTGGCGAGTCTTCGTCTTCCTCCTCTTCTGCTCGATCATGTCAGCGGAGTAACCCCTGGTTGCTTTCCGCTCCCTTCCTCCGGCCATGAGACGCGCTGCCCTCGCCCCGCGTAGCGGGGCTCCGTCGCTCCGGCCTTTCTCGCCCCTCTTCCTCCTCCTCCCGTTGCTGCTCCCGGATCAGAAGGGAGGCAGCGCCAGCGTCGCGGCCCAGGGCGAGTTCAGTTACCAGGACTTGTGCCGGTAAGCAAATGCCTCCCTCCGGCTCGCCGTCTGGTTGGGCGCTGTGGGGGCGAGAGGGGGCTGGTTCTCGTCAGCAGCCCGACGGAGCCCAGGAGGCAGACACGTTGTGGGAACAACAACTCTTTGGCCAAAGGCGGAGTTACTTCTGTGTTGCTGCTGCTGCTTCTGGCCGGCGTTGGGCGCGTGGCTGGTGGCGCTAAGCGTTGAACGAGCTTTCTCGTAAACCTTGCTCAAAAGCCATCTCATGTTTTGCTTTCGGGGTAGTCTTGTACCCAGGCCCTCCTCAAGCGGGTGCTCTCCAGATGTGTTGGGTTGCCAACTCCTATCATTCCTGCCCGGCACCACAGGCTGGGAGGGGCACCAGGTTGCTGGAGGCTGCTCGAAATGGTTCCGCACCTTTCTTTCGGCTGTGTGTGTTGCAGCTGCGATGTGGATGAGTGGGATAAGCTGCCGTCTGGTCGGGAGCTTTCCATTTAGATTGCAAACCAGGCCTGCTCTGCAGGGCACAAGGTAGCTTTTTACAGCTGCAGGCCCAGTGGTGTTTATAATATGGTGCTGGCATTTGTCAGATAGGCAGTGCACACACTGCTCTTTTACAGCTTGCCACGTGGTTTCCTGGGAGGAGGAACTCTTTCACTTTGCAACTTTTAGAGATGTCAACTGTGTTCATTTTTCTCTAGTTGAATAAAACTTCCCTTAAAAGATTGTTCTTGCAAAATTCACATAATTGCCTGGCTTAGGCTTCCTTCTGTCTAAGGAAGCAAATGTATTGATACAGTTGTATGTAAATTGTTTAGCTGATTGGGTCCTGTGAGATCAATATAGCTAGATATCTGTACAAGAGAAGCCCATTCCACTTTCAGCTTAAGTAAATGGCAGGTTAACTAATGGGGAAATTTCTTTCTTTTTACATAAAGGAGCCATCTAATACCCTTTGAGAGTTCCTTTTGGTTTGGCAACACATGTCCCAGAGGCTCAGTGGTTTCAACTTTCTGTGGGAAGGTGGCTCAGCACCAGTCATTTGTCATGTAAAGACACAGCCTCCCCCAGTCTCCCATTACTTATAGCATAATTCTGTACATGGTATTTGGGAATAAGTTCCAGAACACGTCAGAAGTAATTTTCAATTAAATTTGCACAGGATTGCAGCCATTAAGCAGAGAAAAGTCCTACAATTCCCAGCATTCTCCAGCTAGTATGACTGATAGGGAATACCAGCAGTTAGAGGAATTGTTTTTGGTTTAAATGTGCATAGGACTAATTTTCTTGGATAAACAGAGTACAACTTGCATGGAGAAGGAGAGAATTCCATTTTGTAGCATCTCAGCTGCCTTCTAGGGAAAAAAAGGGATAGGGAAAACAATCCTGCTTTACTGTCAACATCTTGTGTTTGGACCATACAAAGCAGGGTTTGCATATTTTTTCAGACATCCCAAACAACCCTTGCCTTGCTGAAAGGAACACCACTCTTAGAAATGCCACCATCATTAAATCACACATTTCCTTCAGGCTATGTGTTGCTTTGTGCAGAGGCTGCACAAGAGGATTCCATTCTTTCAGTGTTTCCCTCTGCTTGTCAAAAGACTTCCTAGAAATTAGGGGGCTGCCTTATATTGCATCAGATCAGTGGTCTGTCAGACCCAGTAATGGGATAGCAGCAGCTCTCCAGGTTTCAGGCACATATTTTTTTCAGCCTTAACTGGAGATGCTGGAGATTGAATTTAGGACCTTCTGCATGCCAAGCATAAATTCTGCCACTGAGCCATGGCTTTCCTGTCTGGGCACTTGAAGATAATGCACAAGTGTCAATCACAGTTTTGATGCAGTGGTACTTTGCTGGAAGCTCTGTCCTAGCCTATGGCTACCCAAATATTGAGGCAGTTCAATTTGCATCAAGTAGCCAATGATTAAGTACAATAGTGGTGGTCTAACAACAGCTGGAAGAGCAATGTATTAAAGGACGTTGTATCAATAATATATTCCCTTATGGAAGTGCTGAGGCTAAGAGAATATTGTTTGTTAAAATTACCTGTCAAGTTCATGGGAGTGAACTCCTCATGGGAGTGAGGAAACTTGTATCAGGAATTTTGTTGGTCCTCAGTGTTGGCACTTAGCATGTAGCCCACTATAATTGCTATGTCCACTTACTCCATCTATATCTGCCCTCTTTTTCCTCCCAGAAACTTGAAGAAGCTTATACAATCCTCTTCATTGTATCCTCACAACAATCCTGTGAGGTAGTTTAGGGTGAGAGTCAGTGACTGGTGAAAGTCACCTAATGTCATGGCCAGGAGGAGACTAGAATAAGGATCCTCAGTGTTTCACTTCAGCACTCTAACCACTATACCACACAGTCTCTTCAAGTTGGCAGATTGCTCATTTAGACATTTTGGTAAAGAGAAGTTATGCATACTTACAGAACTGTAGGACTAACAACAACGACAAACTCTTGCATATAGTCTGGACATGTCTTGTTCGCGTCCATAGGGGCAATGCACTTTTGATGTCATGTGTTTATTCAACCTAGAGTTTATTTTTGTACAACTGTAGCCCATTGTGCAAAGAAGGTATAGTGTACTTGGGTGAACTTTTATCACATGGGTGTTGTCTCTTCTAAGGAGTGAAACAATCCCTAGTATAGGGAAGTGGTGCAGTACTGCAATCTAAATTCAGCTGTTTTCTGCTGCAGGTGGTGTTAATTTTTTTTACTATTTGGCTCTTTTGCTGTTCTACCATAGAGCAAATAATCTAAAATAGAACCTGATGGGTCTATTAAGGCTGCCATACACATGACATTAAATGTCTGCAAACTTAGAACAGCTCACTAATTGAAGTTTAGTGAAACCTAAATTATGGTTTATGAAATTAATGAGCACAGATTAATACTGATGCTGACAACCTGAACTGTGCCCAACCTTTTAATAAATGTGATTTGTTTCTAAGGGGGAAAACCCTATTATTTATTTGTGCTGGGTTATCTAATAAGCATTTCTTTTCATCAAAGGAAGAAATGGATGTTGCATAAGGAATACACTTTCTGCATGTAGTGATGTCATGGTAATGAGAAATTGCTGAAATGTGGAGAGTTCAGAACAATAATTCTAAATTAAGTAGCTCTGCCTACATCAGTGCTTTGAACTCCACGCTCTTATCTCATCTATTGAGCTTGTCAGCTTACAATTATAGTTTCAGGTTCTTTCAACCCTGCTAAATGTTGGCTGCAGTTTGCTGTGTCACAGTACAAAAGGTTGTATGTGATATCCTGTTATGGTGTATATCTTCTACTCTCCTGCCAGCATTCTAAATTTGCTCTCCCTTAAGTGTAGTCTTTGAGACTTATCTCACTCTGTCAAGCTTAAATTGTTTTCTTAAATGTGAGATCTGAACAATGTATACATCTAAGCTTAAAACAGTTTATTCAACAATAAGCATGCTTCTCATAATTGATAACTGTTCATAATGTTGCCAATTATTCATACAAAGAGATTGTATGTCTCTGTAGCTGCAAGCAGTTCTCATCTGCTCCTAAAAAGCTGCCAGAGTGGTTGCAGCTTGGAAGCATTTTTGAATAAACCAATAAGACTTCCAGCGGAAGAGATGCTTTTCATAGTCTTAAGTCTGTTGCAGAATACCATTGAATTGAATGAACTCAATGCTTAATGTTCCAAATGTGTTCTTGTTATGGTTCAGAAACAAAAGAAACTTGGTGTTTGACACTGCTTGTGCTCCATGCACATGAATGTTATAGCAGTGCTGCTGGAGCACTTGTGGGTCCATCCCATGTTTCTGCTCTAGCAGCATCTGCCACATGAGTAGCAATTTATAACACTGTTTTAGTTATCCCACAAACAGACAAAACTACTTGTTTGTGAAAGAGAATTGCATACTTTGAAATCATTTGGTTCAAGTTATTCTTAATAGATTATATGAGGTGGGGTCAACCATGTGTAACTTGGTTAACCTCACCAGTAGTCCTCAGGATCAAGGAGGATGGTTGAGGGAGTGTTAAGGACCATGTGATCTGGCCCATTGCAGGATCAGCCTTTATAGCATATGAATCCACAGAAAAATCGTTCCTACGATGCTGTAGTGTCTGAAGCCACCTTTCCCAGCATGGCACCCACTGGGTGCTTTGGACTTAAGCTTCCATCAGCCCCAGTCTGTATAGCTAATGGGCTGGGATGCTGGGAAGTATAGTTAAAACATCTAGAGCTGTGCTGATATTGCTAAGAGGACATTTTAGATAGTGGATGTTGTGGGGATCACTTAACACCTCCTCCTTATTAAAAGATGGATCCATGAATCCACAAAGAACATATTTCACTCTCACAACTAGATGGTTGGCTTAGGACACGTTTCAGATGTTGTTTGACCTGTGTGAGTGGTGTTAGCACCTCTTCTCCATAGGGTCACTCCATGTTTTAAAGCTGCTTACTTAGCACCTTTGTCCAAATATGTGCATATTCCATGGAGGTACTGGGTGAAGGTGCAGAGGCTGCATGCATTTGGACCCACATAACCACATAAAGAAACTTGACAACTTTAGTAGTGCCAGTTTCACATCTTAGATTATACATGAACATTGACTACAGTTAATAATAATGTAGACATAAGTAGAATTAGCATTTAAGTCCTGGCAATACTATGTTTGTGCCAGTGCCTAATATAGAATTTAGGACTTGATTTACATTTCTGCCCTTCTGGGGCCTCCAGCTGTACTCTGTTACCTCACTTGCGGCTATTTTTCAGCATGCCTGCATAGCTATGCATTGCGCTAGCAAGTCGATTCACCTTTGGTAAACTAGAAAGGTGTGGGTCTGTAACTGGATGGGTGAACACATGTGGAAGCAGGACAGGGGGTTGGAAGCAATGGCCTTATAGGCTTCTTCCAACTCTACTTCTGCTCTGTTCTGTTCTATCTCCCTCAGTCTACTAGAGTGGTAAGCAAGCTGGTGTGCTCCAGTAGTTTTGGCCTAAAACGCCCATCAGCCCAGCCAGCATGGGCAGTGTCATGGATTGTGGGAATTGTACCCCCAAACTTCTGGAGAGCACCAGTTGCCTAGGCTGGCCTATTACGTAGACTCAGCTAAAATGCTCTCTTCTGCTTTCCTTTTCCCTTCCTATCAAAGAGTATAGAACATAATGCAGAGTTCATCAAATCATGCAATGTATTCTGACTGTAGAATTTTATTTTCCTTTTCCTGATGCCCGCTTTACTCTGTGGAGGGAGTCCTTTGTGTGGAGGAGTACTCAGTCATGTGAGCATCTGCTTACAATTTGAACATGTTGGGTCAAATGACTGGTGTGCCAACCCTGTGAAATATTGTTACGTTGACTGCCTTTTTAACCACGATCAAATATTTTCATATATTCCATGATGCTGTTGATGCTTTGGGCCAGCTGCTTCCGTAACACAGCAGTTTAAAATCTGACTCCATTTTTAGTAGCTGCTAGTATTTGATTTCTGTTTTTAATACCTTTTTAAAATGGAAATGCAAGCTGACCAGCAGGCCAAAAAGAACTGCTCTGTGAATCCATTTAAATTTTATTTTGTCACTATTTTAAAAACAGTGTGATTTCGTGTTAGCCAAAATTCACCACTTCATTCACCATAATTGCTGAGGCATGTGTTCCATCCTCCTCTTAGAAAAGTGATTAAGTTCCAGCTGCTTTCCTGACCGTGGAACTGGAGCGGGACCAGGTGTCATCCTCACAGTTTTGTTATACCTTTGAGGTGTTTTTCTTCTAAATGCCATAGAAATTAACACAAGGAGTCAGTCCCTGCATTTTTCTTGCTCTTGAGGCTAGAGATGGGATGGGGGATTTGCCCTATGTTTGTGTGATGTTTTGGGGTGGTCAGAGGGGCATGAGGGTGGAGAGTGGTGGGTTGTGACCTTGTACTGAGTTTGGGAAATGCAGTACAACATTGAAGATAAGACCTATTCCCTCAAGAAAGACAAATCTTTTTTAGCTGTTCACCTTGCTCGGCCATTGAAATAGTCTTGCAGTTGAACAGAGCCTCCACAGGATAAAGATTAAGGAGGCAATGTTTATTGATCAGCTGATATCTGATAGCACTGTAAAGATTGCAATGAAAAGACCCATGTTGTTTACTAACATGGCTTGACTGGCTGTTCTCTATAGGTACTGATTGCCAATCCATGTTCTCTCAGGAGGTTTGGCCCATTCCTTATTGGTTTTAGTTCAGCATAGTGCAGTTTACTCTTATTTGAAGTTGGTGTTCATATCAAAATTCCCCAATTTAAAATCTGTGTATAGAGCTTATTTAAAATTTCTAAATCTATAAATTTAAGATTTATAGATGATCACTAGAAGTGTATTGAGTTTTTAAAATTAAATTTATAAACTCAATGCACTAATAGTGATTATTTTGTTTTGGAGTAGTAGAGATAATACAGATGAGGCACATGCTGAGCATATGCTTAGCCAAGGAACTTAAGAATGAAAGTGGTGTGTAATTCTTTTTCATGCATGCAATTCCTGCTTTTTGCAGCAGCCTGATGGAGAGAAAGAAGAGTAGCACTTTGTTTTCATTAGTATTAAGCCATTATGAAGAGGAAATAATTGTTGATCTACTGTAAGTCATCTGGCTACCTTCTAATAGACCATGTTCCCCTTTCTGCATGCCTCTGTTATTGGTGATACTGAGCTAAATGGACCGATAATCTTATTCTGTATGAGCAACATCCTGTGCTCATTCTATCATACCTAGAGGAGGATTAAATACTCCTTTAGCCAGCAGAAAAACCCCCAAACGTGCATTTTGTTTTATGCAGTGTATCTGAGGCAGCTTTCCCCACCACTGGATGGATTGCCAGTGATTCCTGAAAATGAATTTTTATCTTAAACTGCTTCAAAATATAAATATATATAAAATATATATATTTTATATTATATAAATATAATATAAAATATAACCTGACTTATGTCTCTTATAAGGTGGGCAGTAGTAGCAGTAGCACCTCCCTGCACACCCATACCCTGTTTTCCCCAACAATGTATTTAAAGTATGAGTGGAAAGGTTCCTGGCTTCGAGTTCCTCTTGAGTAGTTTGGGCTGAAATAAGGAGTAAATGTTTGGCAAACACATCAACTGTACTTTCCCCCCCTTTTTTAGCTATACCTGGGAAGCTGTTGATCCTGATAAAGTACACTATAGAATCAACTTCTGTGGGAATGCCGGAGACTGTGGAGCATCCAGTGCTATTTGTGCATATGACCTAAAAACTGCATCCCATTTCTCAGTAGGTAAGTCCAAAGGTTTGTTTATTGTATGGAGTTCAGAAGCACTCTCAGCTTCCATATTTGTATATGTTAACATCTCTCTTCTGTGTTAAAAAAAAATCTCCTTTCAATGCTGTACCTGTGGTGATGGACTTCAAGGCACATTAGAGATGTTTAGGTGGCAGAATGAAAAGGACTTCTAGCATGGGTGTATAGTGGTCTAAAAAGCAGATAATGATTACCTTTAAAATGAATAAAACTGTTTAGGGATGCGTGTTGTGCCTGAGCAGCTTCCAGTTTCTAGCAACAACCTAGGGATGCTGTATTCTAGGTGGTTTTGTGATGTCCAAATCTGCACTTAAGGTCACTTGCCGATCAAATAAATACAAGTTAAGCATGTTAGTACTGAACATCATGGTGAGAGACTATGAGTGAGGCATTTGCTTGTGCATGGGAGTCATCCCATAATTCCTGGAAATTAATTCACCCATAAATTGCCACTTAACTCCAGTTAAGTGAACATTTGAACAAGGCTCATTATGTCTTCTCATTCATGGCTCATTATGTGTACAGGTTGGCTTCCTTACACATTCAAAGTAATTCCTTCCATTCCTTTTGTCTGACTCATCTATACAGAGATTAACAGTTTATATAAATGACATTGTAGGAGAAGGCAATGTCTGGGCAACTTATGCAAGATTTAGTTCTGATTGTGTTTTGGTTTGGCTCATCTGCTTTACTGAAGCTTGCAGCCTAGTGATACCAGGAACTAACTAACTTTCGTCACATTCTCAACTCCTGTTCCCACTCTTTCCCTGGAAACGAGGTGTAGTTTGTCCCCATTTCTCTTCTTCAACAGTCCTTCTCATTCTGGAATTAGTAGGAGAAAAGGGATACAGCATGGCTAACACAGCCTACAAGATCAGTGAACTCTGACCTCCACAATGAACTAATCAGGTCACCTCATATAATCCACATTCTTAAATAGTTAAATAAATAAGAAATAGTGAAAAGCATAAACGGAAATGTATATTTTTGCCCTTTGCATGAAAACACGCCAACTGGCCAAAGAGAGAGAAATATCTGTGCAAACCCTTGATTGCGAGCCATAAAACAAGCATCACTGGACTCCTTAGTTCAACCATCAACTTAGTTCAACCATCAGGGGTCATGTTTCTCCATTAGAATCCTGTAGTGCATCAGCACTAATTGGATGATTTACTGCAAATGCTTTGGTTCCAATATGAGGGGAGAACTCCTTTTCTTCTAGTGCCAGAATCTGACTCTACCTTCTGCATAGGAGATCTTAGTTTTGCACAGGGGATTTGTGGGGTGGTGCCAAAGGGTGAGGCTGCTATTGGAGAAGCTTTCATCCCTAAGATATAGCACAGCATTGTGCCAAAGGAACAGAACATCTACAAACAGGTGTGGCTAGAAGTAGGCAGCCTCATTTCTCCTGACCTGCCTGGCACGCCACTCAAGCTATCCAGATCTTTCATCACATTGGTGCAGTTAAACCATGTGAAAAATCAAGAGTGTTAGACTTAGAAGGCAAACTGCTGCCCTGGTTACATGTGGTTTCACAGCTGCTCTTCTGTTCCTGCAGACCTGTTGTTCTGTACAATGGAAAAGGAACTTGTGCTTTTCTTACAAGAAAGGACTTGTGATGTCAAGCGGGCCGGTACCAGTTTACCTCTTTCTTTACTGGTTCCAGGAATTAATATAGTTGGGCACTATTAAGAAGTATTGAATTGGTATAAGCTTTATGTTGTGTTGAACTGGTTTTTGTCCTGCTGGCTGTCTAACCTCTGGTCGTAGCACCACTTAGGAATTCTGCTGTTGTGCCTTAAGTTTTCAAGTGATGGGGCATTTTCAATGGTGGGTTCTTTTTCCAGACGTTGTGGAGGGGGATGCTGATGACTTGCTTATAGCTTGGTTTCAAAGGGTTTCTGATGGTATCTTGCTTCCCAAGCTAGAGATGCAACAATCAGGCTGGAATCTGCCTCTCTGGGGCTCACGGGACCCGTTTCCCACCTTTGATTCTGGCCAGGGAGTGACCCTAGCTGAGATAAAGTCCATGAATGCCCTGAGACACTAGCAGCTTCTTCAGCCAAAGTATGACAAGTACATAATTCTTTATGTGAAATGTTTTGTTTTATTATATTTATCCCACCTTTTCCTTTTAAGGAACTCAGGGCAGCTCACATAATCTTCTTTCTCCTCAAACTTATCCTTACAACAACTGCCCTGTAAGGTAGGTTGGGCTGAGAGTCTGTGACTGGCGCAGGGTCACCTAGTGACCTCTCTTGCTGAGTTGAGACCAGAACCCAGATCTCCAGCTCTGCACTCTTAACCACTGCTGCCTTCTGACTTTCTATGCAAAGCATGCAATTCTTTGTGCAAGGTGTGCAAAACACGTGTGCAGAAACAACTCTGCTTGTGCAGTGGGCATGTGGGCAGCGGGTGTGCACAAGCTAGCTTCACAGGCTTGCTTGGACTCACTTCCTGCCGGACACTCATGTGAATGCTCAGTGCAAGGTGGACTTACTTAGAACTGAGGGTAGGTGGACCAGTGCCCAAGGAGCCAAGCCAGGGAAATGTGACTGAGGCCCACCCTCAAACTGGATTCTTAACACATCCCTACCCCTGGTTTGTCTAAGCACCTTTTCTCGTAGGTGGAACAGATTAGTTGCTCTTAGGAATGTGAGCCTATCCACTTACTCATAGGTTCCTTGCTGCTATTGCCTCTGCAGTTTCTACATTCTCCAACTCTTCTTTTTCTTTTAGTTTACTTTGTGCCAGTTCAAGGAGAAACAGGCTGTGATAAAAGTGGCTGTGAAAGGAATCCAGGAATATTTCTGAAGCAGAGAATGAAAAGTTTGTGGCAACTCAGTTCCTTCTCTCATCTTATGAACCCTGGTTCCAGTAGCCTATGAATTAAGCTGTTAACGTTTCTCTATTCACTACATAAACTTGCTGAGAAATACATGTAAGCATCTATTACATAAAATTTCAGCTGATAACCTGTGTGCATTTGCTTGAATATACTTGCAGAATTTGACTTTCAAGGCTGCAGATCTTTATCTACATTACACTAAAGCATTCTTTCTCTTCACCCTGAGATTAGGCACATATTGATACTTTGGCAAAGGGTATTGTGTAGAAAGCTAGCCAGTTATTTCAAGCGTACTGAAGGGATATTCCATTTTGTTTTTATTTTGGTCTATATGGACCCTGAGATGCTCAGTGGCACACTTGAAGTCCTTGCCTATGATGGCTAAAGCCAAAGTCTTGAAGCATTATTTGTGCTTGGATAGAACAAAACTACTTCTCTGTTTCAGTACTTCTCAATTTTCTGTCTTCAGATAATCTTCTCTGCATTATTCTTTGTTGATGAACCCTGTTTATTTGAAGGATCATTTAAAGGGCATGTCCTTAGGCTTGAAGCCAGCACATATGGGGTCTTGCTGTAGTCCCACTTTAACTGTGACTACACCTAGATTCAGATGTAAAATTTCTGGAAATGAGGGCTTTCCTTGCTGGAGACTAAAGTGTTGTAGAGTTTGGGCTGGGTGTAGAGCAGGGGTCGTCAAACTTTTTCAGCAGGGGGCCAGTTGAAAGATGCCAGTGCTAGCTGCGGGCCGGAAAGGTGGTGCTGGCAGTGCACGTGGGCCAGTGAGGGAGCGGGGGCAGTGCGTGTGGGCGCGTGCACTGAGGTGGGGGCTAGGCGCGTGGCGAGGAGAGGCGTGGGCAGGCGGGCATGTGCAGTGAGGGGAGGGGTGGCAGGCACACGAGGCAGCAGTTTGCTTGCTTGGAGAAAACAATCTCCAAGCGAGCAAGCCGCTGCCTCCCTGCGCGCGGGGCGAGGTAGGTGGCAGCAGGCGCGCGCATGGGTGCAGCAGGTCCAGATGGGCATGGTGGGCCGGATCCGGCCCCCGGGCCTTAGTTTGAGGACCCATGGTGTAGAGTTTCTCAGCTGTAGTAGACAGGACTCTCCCTGTTGGTGGAGAAAAGCAGGATTCAGTAGAAATGCCCAACTAGAGGAAAGGGGTATCAATTTGCATGGGTTCCTTCTCCCTGCAGTTCTGTCACCTCACACGCTTCTTGAGCAGCTTTTTCTTGCATTGGGAAGAGGAAATTGGAAGAAATTATATCACTTTGGCCATGGGATTATCTAGTTCACAGTATTTTCTGTAGTTCAACTTTGGATCTATCCCTTTGGTATTACAGTCAGAAATGGAGAAACAGGTGTGTCCATGCACGCATGTTCTGAAGATATTCCCATAATGTTGTAAAGCAGAAATAACTATATTTCATTATCTAGTTAAACTGGAAACATTTCAACCTACCTTTTCAACCTAATAAAAAGTATTAGCTTGAAATGCTAAGTAATGTTTCGTTCTGGGTACTCTTATGAATGAACACAGGAGTGAGTTTGTTGGGACTTGGTTCTGAGTAAACATGAACAGAAATCCGCAGGTGTCCATAGAAACAGTAGAGAAAATTGAATATCAGGAACCCATACTCAATTAACTCCCCCTCCCCACTAAAATTTCATGAAATATAAGAAATATATTGATTTCTCTAACTGGTGTCTGAAAGACTTGTGGAGTATGATGCAGAATAGCCTTGAGCTTCATGAGCTTCAGCAAATGGAAGATGTGCATAAACTGAAACAGATTTTTCAGCTTTAGGTTTATCCCTTGATTGTATGTATGGTCAATATTCATCAGTTTTATTTTACTTGATGCAGAAGAAGGAAAGCCAAGACAAGTGAGAAATGAGAGGGGTCCGAGCCCATGTTTGTGCTACTGCCATGTTAGATGATTAATAGGCTTGACATCTTAAATTGGACCAAATACCTGAGGATGTTTTGAATCCTGTAGTGTTTGAAATGAGTCTCCAAATGCCTAGTCCAAAGAGGGTTGCTTGTTCAGCAATCCAGGCAAACAAACTGCCAAAGTTTTAATTGCTACCAATGGATCCTGAGTCCAAGTTTTGTGGCAGTGTGAATTTCTTGTAATAACTCTTTAAAATGCTTTAGAAAGAGGGTTGGGCATTCTAAGAAAATATCTTGATGTGTTTTTCCACCAGTTCTTCCAAAGCTACCCAATTTTTCCAAGGAAGTTGGAGGGGAAATCCTGTTTTCTTGCCCAAGCTTTCCTCTCAGCCTTTTCTAATATGAGAAGACATGCAGCACCTTTTGCAGTTCCAGGTTACTGGGGAAATAGGGATGAGGAAGCTGCCTTTCAAGGTTGTCATTGCTCATCTGTCAGAGGAGATAGAAGTCACTCATCTAGCTCAGTCCAATCCAACTGGCCATGATACTTGACTTTGCTCTGGGGATGCAATAAAAGCTGCAGACCACTTGGAAATGAAGGTCGTGCCTGAACCCAAAACCTGCATGAAGAAATAGCAGGGCAAGGGATGCTTACATGTGTATTGCATACCTGGTGAAAAGAATGGAGCAGGATTGACTGCTGTGGTTGCTAGCAGCAGCCAGGAAAAAGAGCAATTTATATGCACAGGCAAAGGGAGCACCCTTGATTGACTGTGTGTGGCTCTTTGGCCATAGACTGCACATCCCTGCAGTGAAGCATTGTTAAGTCTGCAGAAAGAGGACCTAATGTTTCAGGTTTTGACTTCCAGATGCTATAAAGTATAGTGAAGCAGTTGTTGCAGACTGTTGCATCTTATAATGGAGGCCCAGCATACCTGCCTGCATACCTATACACTAATTGGCATGTTGAGTAATCTTTGCTAAGCTGGAAGGGCATGGGCCTGCAGCTGGATGGGTGACCTCATGTGGAAACAGAGCAGGGGTTTGGATTTGATGCCCTTACAGGCTCCTTTCAACTAAAATTCTTTTCTGATTATTGCCATGATACAAACTCAGTTGAACAACATTTTAAAATTAAGCTGCAGCTTAATTTGGAAAAGTATTAGTTCATTGTGACTGCTGCTGGTATTCATCACAGGCAGGCTCATTCTGTGTCATGGGATATCAGATGCATACATATAGTAAGCCTTGGCATGCATTCAGAGAGTTACTGAAATGAACACTTTTGGTTCAGGTATACAGGCAAAAACTTCAGTATGGGTATTCTGAATACCCTGCAATCTAACAATTTGTGACAAATCCATTTAAAAAAATCACATGGTAAACTGATAAATGGTACTTGGCTCAGGATGACCTAGCGTACTTCATGGCTGAATGCAAATTGGAACGTGGGTCTCACTAGGCCTAATGGCACTGTCTAACCTAGTGCTCTCTAGGTATCAGGTGGGGCAAGACCATTAAGCCATGCTAAGGCACACTGGCTCTTCAGAAATTTTTAATATAAAGTGTTGTGGAATTTCCTCCATGGAGAATTTCCGCACCCTAGTGTACACATTCCAGGTTCTTAAAATGGTACTAGAAACTTTTCCTTCACATGGCCTTTGATGAAAACTTTCTGCAGGTATTATATGTCTGTATCTGGATTTTTAAGAATTTGATATTATGCTAATAATTTTGATTCTTATGTTTTGTGGGTCTTGTTGAAAGGATTTCTGTCTGGAAAGTAGTGTATATTATGGTTAATCTATTGAAGTCTGAATAATGTTAAAATTCTACACAGCTCAGTTCATGGACTGCTGTCAAACCCGGCTTTTGTTTGTATAAAAACACTAGGGAAAATATTTGGCACATAAAGATATAGTAGGTTTTTAATATTATTGGAAATTGTGACTGTGACTCCACTGATCTATGAGGACACCTTCTTTCCATCTCATGAGGAAGCACTGATTAGTCAAGTCATTATCACCCTTGCCTTTAAAAGTTTCAGGACACTTGCTCTGTGATCCAGGACACCAAGTTTGGACTGGATTGAGGCCCTTGTTTTCAAGGTAGTGTTTTTGCTTGATGTCCTTCTATGTGAAATGAGTAGACTTAGTTAAACTCATAGTTTGACTGCCTTGTCTCTAAACTAGCATGCCAGCTTTGGGGGCATTTTGGCCTTCCTGGACCTCTCTGGCAGGCCAAATCCCCCAGCCTTGGTAGCAAAGATGCAGAGACGTTAAATTTTTTAAAAAATGGCCTCCAGCTCCATTACAGAGCTCCATAAAGGTAATAATTAACTTGCTTGCAAGATCATTTTGAGCCCCTTAGTGCTCTGTGGCAGCTCTGCATGCCATTTTGTTTACATAGCAGATTGCTAAAAACATGTAGGTGTTTTCTCTGAAGTTCAGAGAATGGGGGAGGGAGTGTTGTGGACCTTTTATGTTGCCCACCCATGCTCCAACCAACTCTGCATAAAGGATCTAGAGCTCTGTATCTAAAGCTTGTATAAACAAAGCCAGAATTATACAATGGGATTGTTCTGCCTGTGCCTCCCCACAGGACTCCCTGCCCTCTTCAAAAAACCTTGCCTGTCGGTCAAGATATCTTTGGTGTTTTCTACACATGCAGACACATGCCGCACCCCTGTGTCAGATCCCAAAGATCACGTGGGGGCACTTGCATGTCCTGTTTCCTATCCAAATTTTCAAGTGAAAAAGGCATGTGGGTTGAGTGACATATGGGTATTAGATCATGTGCCATAGACCAAAACCTGTGCTTATTAAAAGCTGCTACATTTTAATTGCTGTAGCTACTATTTGGTATGCATTTCTGTTTGGGAAATAAATGAATTAAAAATGGAAAACTTGATTTAAATAAATAAATAAATTTGATAAGTCTTTATGATTTAAATCAGCATACTCTACATCTAATTAACTACTGGCACTGACTATTATATATTGCCTTCCCCTGTTCTAGATGGAGATGTGGGCAGCCTGGCCATGGGTGGGAATTAGCTTGTTAACATTAATATATTTTTATTTTGCTGGTTTTATATGTATATATTATGTATTTAATATGTATAGATTATGGACTGCTCTTAAAATATTTTGCACTCTTGAGAATAACATTTATCCAGGTACCTTTGATTTGCTGGTATCTAGGATTTTGTACTTATTCCAGTGGCAAAATTTTGACTTTTAAATGCAAAAATATAGTTCACTCCAATACAAGAAGATGGTGTCTCTTATAAGAGAATAGTTCTTTGTCATGCTTCCTATTTTATTTTTGCAGAATACTTGGAATATATTAATCAGACTCTGTTAGTAAAGCTCCTTGTTCCTCTTTGAGGTCTAAGAATGGTCAAGCTTCTGACAGCTATGTAACTGTGGGACTTACAGAAACAAGTGGATTTTTACACTATATTCTAGAAATCCTGGGCTTCCTAGAAGTTTATTGGTGAGAAGAACATGGCAGCTTGTCCACTGCTACTGGTTTTTCCCTGTAGTGTGCAGTGGGTATTTCTAGAGCAGGGGTGGACAGAAAGTAGAGCTGGGTTTGCTGGTAGATCTCTGAGTGATTTGTAGAAGATGGGCAGGAATTTCGGACTCTCATTTAACAAGAGCAGCAACAACTTCATTTCCTCCTGGCCAACCATAAATCATACTGCTGAAATTAGGAAAGCCTGAAGTAACCAGGAACTGAAAGTTGTATGAAAAGACTGTGACCCCCCATTAAGTTCTGATACTCAAAACAAATTCCTGTGCTCAGAGTTCTTCCATTTTAAGTGTATATCTTTTGCACCAGGGTCTACTGGGTGTATATCAGGGCTGTGATGGTCCCACCATCACACAAAGATCCTGCAGGTCTATTGAACTCTGCCCACCCTTGTTCTGAAGCACACATTTCTACAGGAGGGTAGTAGAGATCAAAACGTGGATCAAGTTTATGCCCTAGAATACTTGCAGAAACACACATGGCTTTTGGACATTCCATATTCAGAAAATCCTCATGTTTCTTGAATAGAATGTCTAGGATCAGATCTCCTATTATTTATGCACATGCTTCAGGGTTTAACATTTTTTTAAAGTGTCTTGCTTCAAGAGTAAGTGGCAAGCTTCTCAGGGTGGCTGAAAGGAAAACAAAATACTCTTTATGACCTGTGATGATGGCAGGCAATGAAGTCTTGGGAATATATGACAGGTTTGTTATTTCAAGTAATAATACATGTCAATTTCAATTAATTATCAACATCCATCAATTGAACTGACATTTTATGTATAAAAGTGCTTCACAAATTCATAACATCTACTCTTTGGAGACTCAGAAGTTAACTTACTGATAATTCAAAGGTGGTTCTTGGCTGCTGTGGTGGACCTCTTAGTTTTTAATGAGCTAACATATTGAGCCAATATCTCACTTTCTGGGGGGAAGTGCCATTAACTTTCATATCCACTGAATGTTTCCATCTTTTGCCCCTGACTAAAGATGAAAAAAAGGTGTGGGATTCTTCTTAAGCAGTGCTGATGCTTGTGGAATTCCTAATAGCACAGGCAAAGCAAGCCAAAATTTGAATCAGTTTTCACTCTGAGTGAGCTAAGGTCCAAGCTGCAGCAGTGAGCTGAGTTGCCTACATAGGTGTTTTCATTGGTTTTATACTAATCCCATCAGTCACTAGATGGTGAAAGTGTTAATGTAAAATTTGCCCTCAAATTTCAAGTATTTGAGGATCACTCACACCCAAGTCTTGATTTTTCAAAGTAAACTATAGAGTGTGTACCACTGGGGCCAGGATTAGGAAGGGAACTCTTGGAGTGTTGAAGGACCGAAGCCCCCACATTTGTCTTTGCTAATATCACAATGAAATTAATGTTAGGCTGCTACCTACAACAGTGGTGTCTCCAATGTCATGGAATAAATGATCGCAGTCTAAGAAATATATGGAAAAGATCCAAAGGAATCTCTGATTGAAGGGGGTTTCTTGTCTTAAAATATATATTTGGAACCGTAAGATTGAATTACACAGGTACAATAGTTTCTCTGCTTTCTATCAATGACAATTTGGAGGTTGGTAGCATTAACTTTGAAGTCTTTGTTTAGCCCAGAATCCAGACACTGGAAACTAGTATAAAAGGCATGCACTTAAAATTGAAGAATTTGGTCCCCAGGAACTTACTCAAGACAATACCAAAATTCAGTGGAGCTCACAGTCTTTCTGTACAGCAGTAAACTGCTAGTTCCTACCCACTTCATTTCAACAGTATAATTTAAGGTGGGGTAGAGAAGCACTTGAAGTTTGAGGACCAGATTCAGTTTTGGAGACTTTCTCATGCACTGCATTCCAGGCTGAAGGCAAAGTAGGCAGTGCCAAATGCTAAAGAAGAAGGCCGCCAGAGTACCAGCATATTTTAACCAGCATATTTTAAGGAGAGAGATCTTAGTATTTTAGAATGGAGTAGGGAAGAGGGGAGAAATTAAACAAAAGCTGGGTAAGTACCATATAATTAGTGGGTGATGTAAAGGGCATGGAGCCAGGCCTGATATCTCTTTTCCTCGCCCCCACTCAGCCACTCTGATTTTGCATGCACTGTCTTTCTGAATTTGCTGCTACTTTTGTTAATGGGGAGTCAGACATTCTTGTTCATCTGTTCTAAGTTACCAAATGATCTAGTAGATCCGGCTCTAACTTCTACCCATTGCTCCTTTAACCATTGATTTTATGTGAGTATGTTACTGCTTAATATCGTAACTGGTGTGTTCAGAGAAATAAGCTGACTGATCTTCCTGCCCTTGAGTTGTAGAGATGAGTAGCTACCATAATTGATGAATTAATAACCTATTGGGTCTAAATAAGTCTATATGATTAAAATCAGAAATCAAAGGTTCTGAGAAATGAATATATCTTCATGTATGCAATATCTATTCACATTTTCTCAGTCCATATAGCTTCCATATAGCCTGAAGTGCCTGATCCTGCCTAATCTTGAAAGCTAAGCAGGGTTGGGCCTGGTTGAAATCTGGAGGGGGCTTTAATGTAGGGAACCACGCAGAGAGCTTCAGCTAGGAGTGGTATAGAGGTGGTAATAATATTTTTTTTTGTTTTACAGGGTATCTAAACAGTGTTTTTAAATTGTTCACTCTCAGGCTTTTCTGTGTTCC